GTTGAGAGTAGTACGTAATCATACTGAGCACTTGTGGGGGAGGTGGCGAGGAGGAGGACGATGAAGCATGACCTCTTACTCTGCCCCCCCCCCCCCGCCCGCGCAGAACCGCAGGCACCGTGTCTCTCATTCCCTCCCAGTGGGCAACGGCGGCGGCGGTGGCTGCCGAGACGACGACGTGAACGACCACGAAGACGCGCACGACAACAACGATCACGACCACGGCGGCGACCGCGAAGATGACCGCGACCACGAAGGCGACTGCGACCGCGACCAAGTTCTGCTCAAAACTGGTCTCGAGACCCCTCCCGTGGCCCATACTGGCGAGTTTTCGAGCCGCGCCTCCACAATGGCGACGAGAACCTCCGGAAGAGCCCAGAAGCCCCTAGATGACGGCGGCGACGACGACGACAACGACAACGACCACGACGACGTCGACGACGCCAACGACGCCTACGTCGACGCCGCCGACGACGACCACGACGACCACGACGGCGATGACGACGACGTCGACCACGACGACACCGACGACGCCGACCAAGACGACGACGATGATGACGACGACCGCGACGCCGTCCACGACGCCGACCACGACGACCACGATGACAACGACGACCACGACGCCGAGCACGGCGACCACGACGACCACGACGACGGCCAAGATCACGGCCTCGACGAGCATGGCCACCGCGACCGCGACCACGACGAGGCCGACGGCCGCGACCGGGGCGGAGACGCGCCGCCGACCGAGGCACCTGACGCGGGCAGGCAGCCTCGGCTCGCTCGGCGGCGGCCCCAGGGCTGCGGCGAAGCAGGCCGCGTTGGGAAGGGGGCGAGGGGGGGAGGGAAGTCCCTCCCGCCTGCCCGCCCTCCCGCCTTCCCTCCTCCTCCGTCGTGTTGCCTGCTCCCTGCTCATGCTCCTTCTCCCCCCGCCTCCGCCTGCTCCTCGTCCTCCTCCTCCGCCTCCGCTCCCGCCTCCTCCTCCTCTGGCCCGCTTCCTCCCCCTCCTCCCGCCGCCTCCTCCTTCTCATTGTCCTCCTCCTCCTCATCCTCCTCCTCCTTTCTGCTCCCTCCTCTCTGCTCCTCCTCCTCTTCCTCCTACTCCTCCTTCTCCTCCTCCTTCTCCTCCTCCTCCTCCTTCCTGCTCCCTGCTCCTCCCCCTCCTTGGGGTGGGGGGTGATCGGGAAGACCGGTAGGTGGGAGAGAGGACCGCGCCGGGAGGCGGGAGAGATAGGGGGGGAGGGACGCCAGGCAGGGAGGCGGGAGCCAGTCAAGGAGAGGGGGGTCCAATGGGCAACGACAGGGGAGGGCGACGCATTGCCCCTCGCTCTCTCACTTCGCAGCGCCCATCAGGGCCGCGCCGGTCGCGCCAAACTACCTGGCCGCTGCGCGCGCGCATGCGCGGGCTGGCGCGGCCGCAGAGATGCACCAGCCAGCGCCAAGCACTCATCGCAATAGCCGCCGCATGAGGTTTGCAAACCAAGTTGCGGGTGGGTGGGTGGGATGTTTGCGCGAGCAGTGGAGTGGACAAGTCACTGCGAACAGAAACTAGTTGCACCGCATAGATTGCATCACAAAGTTGCACCGCACATATTGCACCACGTAGGGTGCACCACGGACGACGCACAACATATATTGCACGACGTAGATTGCACCAGTTAGACTTCACCACATAGCTTGCATAACCTTCCGTCGATTGAGCCGCATGGATTGCACCACGTGGATGGCACAACCTATATTTCCCCACGCACAACGTACAGCGCACTGAATAAATTGCACCACCTGATTTGCACAACATCGATTGCACCACATATATCGCACTACGTACATCGCACAACAGATATTGCACCTCATAGGTTACACCACATAGGCTGCATCACATAGGTCGCACAATGCATATACATATGTGTATATACATACATACGAATTGAAACGCACCGATTGCATGCAGACTCCACCACATAGCTTGCACAGCATACATTGGACCGCGTAGATGATACCACGTGGATTGCGAATCATGCCCTGCGCCACGCAGATTGCTCAGCATGGGTTGCACCACGTAGCTTGAATCACATTCGTGCGCAGCATAGATTGCACAGCATATATTTCATAACGTAAATTGCGCAGCGTGTGCTACCAGACGCAGAATGTTTGGGGCCCACGCTGGCTACTTGTTTAATCCAGGCGGTAAAAGATGTTCTGCTGGTGCGCACCTGATGAACTCGTATGAGAGCCATATGTGTGTGTGTGTGTTTCGAAGTCTCGTCCAGCACCCGCATCCTGATTTTGCAACACGGTGCAACCACGTTGATTCATCGTGCGTCCAGTGCACGATCCCGTACCAACGAAAACCATGCGTGCCACATGCGCGCGCCGTATCGCGCGCATGCCGGAATCCCTCGAAGCCACTGGCGTTCACATTATTTCAAGGTTGAGCTCTTCCATCACATGTGAAACACCAATGTGCTTTCAACACGTTTGCAAGTTGCAGTTGAAATTGTGGGATGTTGGCGGCTGGAGGGTGGAAGGGTTGGATGTTTGCGTGAGCACTGGGGTGGGCAAGTCATTAGTACCACGATCAATGACACCACAATGCTTACACCACACAGCCCGCACCACATACGTGAGACCACATAGTTTGCCGCGCATAGCTTTCACCACATAGCTTGCACCGCATGGATTGAAACTGCAGGGCATTACGTACACCGCATCGTTGGCGCCATACGAGGCAGGAGGGAGAAGGGAGGAGGATGGAGAGATGGAAAGGAGGATGAGAAGGAGGAGGAAGGAGGGACGACGGGGGAGTGGGTGGGAGAGGAGGGAAGAGGAGGAGGAGGAGGAGGAGGAGGAGGAGGACCAGTGTAAATCCAAGAGTCATCAACAATGGTTGAATCAAACCTCCCTCGAAGCTCCCTCTTCGCAGGTCCCTATAACGCTCCATGTCCATTGGGGGAACTGCCCCGTTGGAAGACAACCGTTTGAAGACCCTGAAGCATGCCAAAACATTGCTTTCGGGATTCCAACGCCACGGACCAACCTGACTCTTGCGTGTTGACGATCCTGGATCGTGCCAGAACACCATGCCTGGGACGTCAACACAGCGGATCAACGTAACTGTTGCGCCCGCGTAATATTGAATATTTTTCGCAAGACCATGTCTGATACGTTCATGATGGGGACCCGTGAAACCCTTGCACATGTTGTGCACGAGTGTGCGCGGCGATAAGGCGAGAGTCACACTGTGAAAGGAACCGCCCCACATCCGTGAAACTCTTGCAGCTTTTTGTAAACGAATGTGCGCCTCGCTAAGGCGAGAGCCACATTTTGAAAAAGACCCGCCCTCAATCCGGGAAGCCCTTGCAATTTTTTGGAACGAATGTGCGCCGCGCTTAGGCGAGAGCCACATGTTGAAAACCACCCGCCCTCAATCCGTGAAGCTCTAGCACCCGTTACAACAAATCTGCGCCGCGCTATGGCGAGAGCCACATTTTGAAAACCACCGGCCCTCAATCCGTGAAACTCGAGAAAATGATTAATGCGGATGTGCGTCGCACTAAGGCGCGAGCCACATTTTGCAAACCACCCGCCCTCAATCCGTGAAACACTTGCAAATGTTTAAAACAAATGTGCGCCGCGCTATGGCGACAGCCACATTTTGAAAACCACCTGCCCTCTATCTGTGAAATTGTTGCGAATTGTTTAGATCTAGAGCAGAAATGGTGAGGACGTCTCAGGCGAAACGCCGGGCCCGCCCTAAAAATTTGCCTTGGGGTGCGACAGGGAGACTTCATTTATAAGGCAAAGGAATGGAGGAGGAGCAGGAAGTGTAGGCGGAGTGGGGGGGGGGAGGAGGAGAGGGACGAGGGGGAGGGGGAGGCAGAAGGAGGAACCACGGCGCCCGACCCGGCCGACCTGAGGCCTCGAAGGACTGCGGGGGCCCGGGGAAGATCCTCGTCACCTGGCTGGTCGAGGCCATGCGCCACCCGAGCCTGTGCAGGCGGCGGCTGGCGACAGAATGCGGGAGGAGGGGCTCCAAGACGTTGCGTTCCCTTTTTCGGGGAAACGTGAGGCTCGAGTAAGCCGGAGCCCGGACGTGCTCATGTTTTCTTGACGAGCGCGTCCTGGATTTTGACGGTCCAGTTTTCGTGGGATATCTGCAGCGGGAGCTCGCGTCAAATTTCAGATTGGGCTTCGTCATTTTATGATGGCCCCGTCAGGCCAAGCCGAGCCTTTCGTACCCGAGTCTTTTTGTTGATTTATTGTTTTGGTTTATCCTCGGGCTATCGTCAGAACAGTAATTCCTGCACGTGGCCGACGCGCGACGAAAGGGCCCGAGGGGCCGAAAGAAAACGAAGGACGGACCCAGGAGCCACAGACAACGAGCGGAAGGACACAACCGAAAGAAAAGGTCCACGAAGTGATGCTGGGAAAGGTTGACGGGATATGATTGCCCCGTCCTGGCTCATCGGAGGTCGCTGCCTCACCTCCCCTCAGGCACCCACATGCCTCCATTCAAACCCGCGGCAGCAGAGCTCACATTCTCTCTTTGTGAGCCTGGGCAGGGGAAGCAGGCACAGCAGAGCTGCACGGGGAGTCCCAAGCGCCAGCGGTACGGGTGCTTGCTCCCATTGCGCCGCAATGCTTGGGAAGCTTCGCAGTCAGACAGCCTCAAGGACGGGAACGTATAAAGATGTCGCCCCATAGAGAGAGCGGCAAGACATCACCAAGCCCGCGAGAAAAAGAGAGAAGCTGGCATAGCCTCTTCTCTCTTGGCGAGCCTGGGCAGCGCACAGAAAAAGTAAGCAAGGGCCAGGATTTCACGACCGCAGGCGGCACGGGTGCTTGCTGCCATTGCGCCTCCATGCTTGTGGAAGCCTTGCGGTCAGGGAGTTTCTATGGGCTGGAGAGATTGACTGAAACAGACGACCGTCAACCCGCAGCAGTGAGAGCAGGTTGCCTCTCCGTCGCTTGGCGAGCCTGGGCAAAGGAAATTACAAACACAGAATAAGCAATGAGAGTCTTACAGCATATATACTTCGCGGGCGCCGGTATCCACGAGACCCCCGCACCACGGTCGGATAAGCACAAAAGATGCCCCACCCCCTCTTTGCCAACCCCCTTTCACAGCCACCAGGCCGCCACAGCGGCTGTAGCAGCCATTCTGGGTCGAAGAGGGCCCGGAAGTTAAGCACGTCGTGGGGCTTGGGGAAAGCATAGATGACGCTGGCACAACCACTTGCGCACACACACACACACACGTCTCCGATCGGGCACTGTGTGCTTGGATCACGTCCATCACGCATGAGCCTCAGGCGGGATATTGAGCCCGTGGCCCGAGGGGGGCCCAGGATAGTTTCGAATCAAGCCATTGACGTTGCTTTTGGAGTAGCGTTCACAGCGGCGGCAGAAAGTAATGTCCTGCAGCCTTCGGAGACAATGCCCCCCTCTCCCGTCGGTGAGGGGTACCTGGGACGCAAAAGGTAGCTCTTAGAAAACGAGCTAGCTCTACAATTCACACAATTAAAACGCCCTACGGAAGGGCCCCAGACATGCTCATGCATCGCTCCAGCAACAGATCCCGACAAAAGGAGAGAGGGGGGAACTGGAATCTGGATGTCCTCAGAACTGGCTGCCTATATTTCCTCGGGGCAATTCTTGAACATCCATGCAATGTAGCGGCCGATATAACAACCTAGATGTCTGACAAGGGCATCAGACCCGTTACTATGGTCCTGCTGCGCGGTGTCATGGGAATTGAAATTTGCACCTAGCTTGGCCAATCGGTCTGCCTAGCGATTCCCAGCATAGCGTACATCATTACGATCACACTGACGTACCTCGGAGACTCGCACTGGTTGGTAACCTGCATCAGTCGCTAGACGGTGGAGCTGGACCCATAGGGAGCAGCGCTTAGCCCATCCATGGGTGGAGGCTTCGTCGCCGAGGACCCAAACGCCTACCACCGTTTGGCAATCAGTAGCAAACTCATACTGGACAGACGGGGCAGCATGGGTGAGGTGAAATATGAAAGCATAGAGCTCAGCCCCATGGAGTGTCGTGAACAAGGGCAGGCGATGCCCCATATGCTGCGGCGTTCAACATAGGAGAATCGTGTGCAACAGGCTCACCAAAGACGCTTCGGCGTCTGGGAGCAAAAGAGCAAACGCCCCGTCCACGTCGGAGCGCGTGGGGCGACGGCCCAAATATTCCCGAGCCGCCCCCGCACGCTGGCGACGGGAAAAGAGGGCCATCAGCGGCGCGCTCCCAAACAGGACCAGGGAAAGGCGGCGAAACAGGAAAACGATGACGCGGCTCAGGAGCGAGCGTTGTGGCCCAGACAGGATTATCACGGCGCTGCCCGAGACAACGTGCGAGGGCCTGCGCCGGACCAAACCAACGACGGAGCTCATTGAGAGTATCACATTCATACCAGGTGTGAACAATAAACAAGGCCCGCTGGGATCAGCTGGCACATGGGGCACTTAGGTTTGAAATAGATACACCCGGCCAAGAAAGCCCCCAGGGCTCGCTGATTCAGCGCGCCACAACCTTCGGTCTTCTTGGACAGGAGCGAGAGGAGGGGAGGCAAGAAAGGGGGCCCCGACACATGACCGAAGGAGGGGTGACGCACAGAGGTTTGCTTCCGCGCCCATGCGCAGGCATCGCGGGTCACTGGGGATGCCAGGTCGCGCGGCGTAGTAGTCGCAATCAACAGATCCATCCCAAGAGAGTCCTGCCATTGGGCTGGGGTAGTAACTGGCCATCCAATCCTGAGTCAGGTGGCAACCTATACTTGACCTGGCCCTTGTAGGTCTGCCCAAGGGGTGCCACATGAAACGGCATCACGGGCTCGAGAGAGGACTGCGTCAATGACGCCCTCGGGTAATGCACGGTTCCAACGAAAGACAGCCCACAAACGCACTATTTCTCCCTGGGCGTCCAAGGCTTGGCCAGTTACGCCCTGTAGAGCAAGGTGCAACGTAACAGATCTGCGCCTACCTGTATCTAGCACTGCATGACATGGAGTCCTAATCTGCTGGATCTGGTAAGTACTCAAGCCGACCACAGCAAGTCTATGGGATATAGTAGGATGCATGTTCGTATTAATAATGCTAGCCACCCGATCACCTCCTTTCTGAAGGCGCAAAAGACGACGGGCCATGGCCATGGCTGTCTTTAGTCTGGCATTCAAAACTGGACGACTCCGGCGCCCCTTGCGCAGCTGAAAATCAGGTTTCGACATGAGAACCTGACGACTCCAGGTAGACGCGGGGTCTCAGCTACAGTATCCTTGGCCATCTTCGGGCCCGGGGCCAAGAGCACGATTTTCTTCTCGGCCAGGGGCAACCGGGCAGAAAAAGTGAACTTGCTCATAAGGAGATGGGAGGCCTCCACGGCTGTTTTCGGGAGGTCACTTTCATTTCCAATCCCCAGGGCCTGAACGTCGTCATCCACCAGGCCAATATGAAGGTTCGGATATACTGCCATGACAGAATCTAACTCTGGAGCCAGCATAATGCGCATGAGCAGATCTGCAGAGGAACAACCAGCAACAACCGTGATACCAGCAGAGATCCAAGCACCGACGATTCGGCGTAATCATACGACCCCAGGCGATATATAGCGAGATAAGAGCACGCGCAAAATCGCAGGATTGACACCAAATTGCATTGCACGCTTGATGAGAAGCTGGTGCCGAACCTGCCCATGCGCCTGCTAAATGTCCACCAAAAGAGAGAATGCTGAGATGCCGCGTGTCACTGCGCATTCTGGCAGCACCCCCATGCGCCGCGCACGCTGTTGACAAGAGTGAGCGCGCACGCCGTATATGCATGGGCGCAGGCGTGGGCGCGCGCAGCTCGCGCCGCGCGCGTGGCGAGAGAACCTAGTGAACGCCCGCGCGCATTTTGTGGCAAGTGCCACGGTGCGCTCGCCGCCTCCGGGCCTCGGCAATAAACTTATAATGAATGCCGCCAAGATAGATGGAATTTTCCTTAACCGCAGGACAGCTCTTCATCTGCCAAACAGCGCGAGTAAAGAACAATCCGAGAGTTGGGCATGGTGGTGGGCATGCATGCAGTCCAATGCAACCGCCGCGCGCGCTCTGCATTTCCGACGCATCTGCCTATAGGGCGCCAGGGACGGTTGCGGTAAGGATGCAATGTCAGTCGGGTGCGCAGGAGGCACGGGCCAATCACGGCAAGGATCGTCGGGGGTGCCTGCTATAGGTTCCCAGAGACCATGCCAAAACTATTCGCGCGCGTTCAAGTTATGCTCAGGAGTGCCGATTGGGACATCAGGGGTCGGTGTAGATGCGGTCTGAAAAGCCGCCCCAATCGACCGAGCCGCTCACAAACTTGCGCGCGCCAAATCCACCACGCTGCGCAGACTTCATGGCCCGCGAGGTCCAGGACTGATGGCGCTCAGCTGAGGCCGCGCGCTCCATGGCAGACGCCGTCTCAGCCAGAGTATTCCGACGCCAATCAATAGAACCAAGGTTCAGGGAACCGAGCCGATTCCCATAGCAACGCCACCATGGCCAATCAGGAGTTGGACCCCCTTCGCGCTCTGAGGGGCGGTATCTGCGCAAACCATTAGCTGCGCGAGTGCCAGCTGGTCACGGTTGCTTCCCTGCTAGATGTAAGAGGGCCCCAAGACGGTTCGAGAGGTTCCTCTAAAGCTTCCCATTCATAAAAGGTAGCAACTCCACCAGGGAAAAGACGGGAGACCGATATCTGAATCGAGATGGGGGCCTCGCCCCATTTATCATAAACCAGCGGTCCGGGTAGCTGATAGAGCCCAATCAACTCCTTGACAGGCGTTTTCAGCCAGCCAGAGGTAAGACGCTCAAGCTCACGCGCTGCAGCCACTTGGTCAGGATCTGGAAACTCATCCCAGGACGGGGGGCAGGGATCACGTCCAACGGGCCTCGGAACGGGTAGCAACGGAGGACGACGGAGCACAGAGACCAGGTCAGAATGCACATTCCCACGTAGA